TTCAAAAAGCTTTTTTTTAATCACCTCAAAAGCATCTTTTACCTCCCTTGTCCACTCAAAATCCCCCTTCTTTAAACATTCGGTGATGGGTGACATTAGAGTACTAAAGTTGGATACAAATCTCCTATAAAATGAGGCTAAACTATGAAACTCCTTACTTCACTAATGGTTTTAGATTTGGGCCAACTCCTAATTGCATCTACCTTTGATTGATCAACATGATTCCCTCTCCCGAAACTACATAGCCTGGGAAGATTACCCTCTCCATGAAAAACTCACACTTCTCCATCTTTGCATACAATTTTTGTTTTCTCAACACTTCAAACATTTGCCTAAGATGGTTTCTATGTTCATCCTTATTATGGCTATACACCAATATATCATCAAAATAAACAACAACAAATTTTCCCAAAAAATGTTTAAGTACCTTACTCATCAATCTTATGAAGGTATTTGGTGCGTTGGAAAGGCCGAAGGGCATAACCATCCATTTAAAAAACCCTCATTTGGTCTTGAAGGTTTTTTCCACTCATCCCCTTCTCTCATTCAGATTTGATGGTACCCACTCCGCAAATCGATCTTAGAGAAGATGTAAGAACCATGCAACTCATCAAGCATGTCATCAAGCCTAGGTATGAGCTACCTATACTTGATTGTAATGTTGTTGATGGCCTTACTATCCACACACATCTGAAAACTCCCATCCTTTTTCAACACCAATAAAGCTAGAACTGAACAAAGACTAATGCTCTCCCTCACATACCCTTGACTAATTAGCTCATCCACTTGCCTTTACAACTCCTTGGACTCCGTTGGATTGCATCTATAGGCTAGTTTGTTTGGTAAGGGTGCTCTGAGTAGCAAATCAATGTGATGTTCTATTCCCCTCAAAGGTAGCAGCCCGAGTGGTAACTCCTTAGAAAAACATCCTCAAACTCTTGTAGTAACAGTTGGACTAGGGGATGGGGTGCACTCTCATTACTTTGTTTTCTCTTGGCAATAAGCAAAACCAGGATGTGTTTGTGTTTGTGTTTGGTGATGACCTTCTCTATTTGATTGCCATTAAGGAATAGGTTCTTTTGTGAGGTTTCGATTTTGAGTGGTGTAAGTGTGGGAAGTGTTTGATGGGGTGGTAAAGGGTTTAAGGTGATGGTTTTTTTGTTGAACCTAAAGGTGTAGGTGTTATTCCTTCCATCATGGACAACCTCCCTATCATATTGTCAAAGCCTCCCTAGCAACAAATTACAAGCATCCATTGGTATTACATCACACAACACTTCATCCACATATCTCTTGCCTATGGAAAAGGGAACTACAACTTGCTTGGTAACACTAATGGTGCTTCCATTGCTCAACCATTGTAATTTGTATGGGTGGCTATGATTTTGGGTGGAAAGCTTCAATTTCTCAATAAGGTTGGTGGAAGCTTCATTAGTACAACTTCTACTATCAACAATAATTGAACATACCTTTCATTTGACGATGCAATGGGTTTGGAACAAGTTTCCCCTTTGTGCTTCGGTAGAGCCAACTTGTGCATGTAAAACCCTCTTCAAAATCAATGCATCACTAACATCAGCTTCTTTAACAATCTCCTCACCATTCTCAGATTATTCCTCCTCACTCTCTTCTTCTTGGATGGCTTCTTCAATCTCTTGGATCTCTTTGATTGACATTATTCTCTTGTTGGGACAATTGGCTTGGAAGTGTCTATAGTTATGACATTTAAAACATTTATTGTCCTTCAAATCCCTTCGGGTGCCTCTTTGAGTCACAAATTGTGGCTTTTCCTTGGGTGCTTCATTCACTCTATCATTGTCCTTGTCTTTGTTAGAGTTGACATAGGGTTTGGAATAGGATGGGGATCCTTTGTAGGAGTTCTTGCCTTTGAAATATGGTTTTGGGGCTGGAAGTTTCAAACTTTGTAGTTGCTTCTCAATCTTGTTGGCTAACTTGCACACATCTCCCAAGGAATGGTAAGGTTGCAATTCCACCTTGTGAGCTATTTCTCCTTGTAAACCTCTCAAGAACCTAGTGATGGTTTGCTCCTTTTCCTTCGGAATATCACTTTTCATCATAAGGCCCTCAAACCCTTTTATATACTCCTCTACTTCCTATCCCCTTGCTTAAGATTGTACAAACTCAAGTAGAGATTCTTGTCAATCTTGCTTGTAATTATCGGACAAGAATCTCTTTTTCAACATCCTCTTCAATTTATCTCATGACCTTACTCTAGTCTTTCCCTCTCTTTTTCTTTTCTTTCTAGTGTTTTTTCTTTTCTTTCTAGTGTTTTCCCACCATAAGGAAGCATATCCCTTGAACTTTAGAATAACTACCTTACATTTCTTCTCATCTGAATACCCCTTAAACTCAAATACTCTCTCAATATCACTCAACCAATCAATGATAGCATTAGGGTCTAGACTACCTTCAAATTCAGGAAAATCTATTTTGATACCCCTATCATCATCAATTCCTCTCCTCCTAGGTGCCTCAGATTCACTAGAGGAAGCCTTAGTACCTCTTAAGTTTTCCATATATAATGGGGTCCTAATGATGGTTCTTTGGCGGTAGTGTGATCGACCTTCTCGTTGGGGCGGTTGTGGGGTTTCTTCAAGGGTGGATTTGGATTGGGATAGATTAGCAATGTCCTTAGACATGTTAACCATCAATTCTATCATGCTAGACATTTTCTTCTTTACATCATCAACTTCCTCTTGGATTTTTAGGTTGGCACACTCTCATGGTGGTAGGGGTGAAGTTGGGGAGGAAGTGGTCTTGTTTGCCATGAAAATTGGGTGAAGCTATTGTGAGCAGTAACTTCGGGTGAAAAATGTCACTTTGGAATAGTGAAATAATGTTATTTGAGGTATGAAGGGTGAGAGGATGAAATTTGCATAATTTGGTTTTGGGAAATAGTAATCTGTGAATAGTAATATGTAAGGTTAATAAATGGTGTTTATGTAGATGGTTAGTGTTTAGGGCTTTTTGATTGAAATGTGATTGGTTTTGGTTGAATTTGGATGGAACTGGTTAGGTTTTGATGAGGTGTTAAGTTGGTGGTTAGGGTTGGTACTTGGAATATTGTTTAATGAAAAAGAAAAATTTTGCACAAGAAATGGCAATTGGATGGCTTGTCCGAACTACACACACTTAACACTTCCTTACAAATTTTTTTTTTTTTATCAATCACAACTCCAATAATCACAAATTCAATCCACAACCATAGCTTTGATACCAAATTGATATGAATTTATGCAACCTCAATTCATATATCACCATACTTCAACTAATTTCAACTCAACCTAGGCTAGACTTCACTTGCAACACCCTAACACAATTCGGCTAACACTTTACAAGCACACACAACCATTGTAACACTTTAGAACAACACCTTTTATCAAGCCTCAATCAACACAAACTCATTCCACTTTGATATGCACAACACAAACTCGGAACACAACAAAAGAAACCAACCCGAAATGTGAGATAAATGTTAACCAAGTGAGATTAACTTACAAGATAGATGACCAATGATCAGTCAAGTCTAAAAGAACTCCACCAGCTTGAAGGATCAATCCACCACCAAGTTTGGCCGAACCTGGGTAAAGGAACTCAAGAGAAAACAATTCTCCAAGGCAAAATACTATTCATGCAATATTCAATGTCTACCTCATATTATGATAGAGTGGCCTTTAAATAGGCTTTACAAAATAAGGGAATTACCCTAGCAAAATTACATGAAAATTACAACAAAATATTACACAAAAATATTAAGGGATAATTCCCCACCATACAATATCAAAAGTGCAAGCCATACTCACTTAATGTCATGGACAACCTTTCCTTAAATTAAGGATCTATGTCTCTAATCACAATTTTCCTGAATTTCCTTTAGCATTTGAACCAAATAGCATTCACAACTTGGGCTTTGACCAATGAAGCTTCTTCCCACTTGATCTCCATGGCTTGGGCTACAAAAAAGGGCTTGTGCCATGTCTTGGGCCCTTAACACCTCTTGGACAAGTTTGTAAGCTTAAGTGCTTGGGCCGAGTTTGTCCATCTTGAAGTCCTTGAATCTTTAATGAACTCTCTTGCATGTTTAAAGAACATGATGGGCTTGGATTCTCATCATCCTCACCGGGTTGAGAAGGATTTGTCCTCAAATCCAAAAGTTCCCCATCTTCCAAGTATGAAGACAAGTCTCCGATGTTAAAAGTAGCTGAGACATTACCAAATTTAAAGGGTAAATCGACTTTATATGCATTATCCCCAACTCTTCTAAAGACTTCAAAGGGACCAACGGCTTTAGGGGCCAATTTGCTTTTCCTCTTGGAAGGAAACCTCCCTTTCTCAAATGAACTCATACAAGGTCACCCAGTTGGAAAATATTGCCGATACCACTGGGACATCAGACACAATGCCAACGAGTGACAGACTTTGAAGGATGCCATTGAAGACCATATACGAAGGGGCTACCTAAAGGAATTTGTTAAGGAGGCACTAGCTCGCGAATATTAACTAGGTTTGACAAGCTCTGGCCAATGCCAACAATGATATTCCAGTGGGTATGATCTACAGGGGTCCTGACATAGCGGGAAGCTCAAGGCACACCTACGAGCAATATGCTTGCAAGGCCAAAACAGATTCGGTCCCTTGGATAATGAGCTACGAACAAAAGCTGCCAAAGTGGCCCAAACTAGAAAATCAGGTGGTAGGATTCACTATTGAAGAAGACGAAAAATTCCCTCGCCATAATCATGATGCGATCGTAATCGTAGCCAGGATTGGTAATGCCAAAGTGCTAAGGGTGATGGTTGATAATGGAAGTATAGCAAACATCATCTTCTCGGAAGCTTTTTCGAGAGATGAGGTTCATGGAGTAGGACTTAAGGGCGTGTCCTTAGCCATTCTATAGATTTACGGAGGACAGCCTGGTCTCCAAGGGAACGATCGACCTTCCCGTGACTTTAAGGGCAAAACCTAAAATCAGGATAGTAATGGTTGAATTCTTAGTGGTAGACTGCCCAACCACATACAACATCAACCTCGGAAGACTGATCTTAGATGATTTGAGCGCAGTCACATCAGTGCACTGCCAAGCAATGAGGTTCTTGACTCCCGGGGGAGTTGCGACAATTAGAAGTTGCAGAAAAGAATCTCAAAAATGTTACAACTGGGCCATAAATGTTTCACTAAAATGGCCGCTCCCAAGGACAATGGTTATTACAGAATCTGAGTCGCATCCTAGACCTCTCAAGGATACCATAAATCCTCGTATCCATAGAGAAGAGCCCGCAGTAGGGCCGACAGAAGAGTTGCGAGAAATATGTGTTAGCGAGGAAGATCCAACTCGCATACTAAAGGTCGGCAGCAGCCTGAACAAAGGAATGACTGATAATCTAGTGAGTTTTCTGAAGAAAAACCTCGACATGTTCGCATGGGTGCATGTAGATATGCTGGGGATCAGCCCCAAAGTAATGTGTCATAGGTTGAACATCAACCCAAAAGCTTGGTCAATAAGACAGAAAAGGTCTATGGATGCAGAATGTTCTAAAGCGCATAAAGATGAAGTTGACAAACTTCTGAACATCAACTTCATCAGAGAAGTGAAGTACCCAGAATGGCTCGCCAACCTAATCTTGGTTACGAAGTCAAATGGCAAGTGGTGGACTTGCATCGACTTCACAAATTTGAATAAAGTCTGTCCCAAAGACAGCTTTTCATTGCCACAGATCAACCAGTTAGTAGATGCGATGATTGGAAATGTACTACTCAACTTCATGGATGCATACTCAGGATATAACCAAATCCCGATGTATCAACCCGATAAAGAGCATACCTCCTTTATTACTGACCATAGGATTTATTGTTACAAGATTATGTCATTTGGCCTGAAGAATGTTAAGGCGACCTACTAGCGCTTGGTGAACAAGATGTTGGCTGACCAAATTGGCAAAACTATGGATGTGTATATCGACGGCATGCTCGTGAAATCAAAGGTTACTGAAAGCCACATTGAACATTTGGGAGCAAATACAAAATGAAGCTCAATCCTTTAAAATGTGCTTTCAGAGTAAGTACGGGAAAATTCTTAGAGTTCCTTGTAAATCAAGGAGGTGTTGAAGCCAACCCAGAGAAGATTCAAGCTCTTCTAGATATGAAAAGCTCGACCAGCATAAGGTAGGTACAGAGCTTGACAAGGCATATGGTCACACTCAGTAGGTTTGTTTCCCGAGCCATAGACAGATGCATACCATTCTTTGAGACCTTTAAGAAGAAGAAGGGTTTCAAGTGGATGGAGGAATGCGAGAGAGCCTTCCAAGAGCTAAAGAAACACTTAGGACAACCTTCTTTGTTATCAAAGCCCATCCAGGGTGAGCAACTACTGTTATATTTGTCGGTACCAAAGTCTGCAATCAGTGCTGCATTGGTACGCGAAGAAGGGGGAATGCAGTGGCTGGTATACTATGTGAGCAAAAGGATGCTCGATGCTGAGACGAGATGCCCCGAAATGGAGAAGCTGGCCTATGCCCTTGTCATTATCGCCAGGAAGCTGCAACCTTATTTCCAAGCGCACTCTATTCATGAGCTGACAAACTTTCTGTTGAGGAAGATAATGCAAAAGCCCGAGGCATCAGGTAGATTGATCCAATGGATGACAGAAATAAGTCAGCATGATATCAAGTACATCCCGAGAACAACAATCAAAGGTCAGACTTTGACAGATTTCATATCAGAATTCTCATATCAACTAGATAGGGAAATTAGCCTGCCAGGGTCAAATACCTTAGGAGAAATTAAGCAGCAAAAGCTAAAGGTGGACTCTCTATGGCAGTGGACTCTCTATGTAGATGGCTCCTCAAATGAGAAGGGGGCAGGAGCGGGGCTTTTGCTTGAAAGTTTCGAAGGAAACCAGATCAAAGTTATAGTAAGATTTGGGTTTACCGCCTCCAACAACGAGGCTAAGTACGAGGTGTTACTTGTAGGGATCCGTCTCGCCAAGGAAATGGGGGTAGAGTCCATCAAAATTTATAGTGATTCCCAGCTCATAGTCTACTAGATTACCGAGGAGTGCTAGGCAAAGGAGGATGGAATGGCATCATACCTCCAATTGTTGAAATCCAAGCTTGAGCAGTTTAGATCCTTCACAATTCTTCAGATCCCAAGGGAGAGAAATTCAGTAGCCGATGCTCTAGCCCTCCTAGCCTCTGCAATGAGCCAAGAGAAAGCTAATTCGATACCAGTTTAGTTCCTCCCAAGTCCAAGGATCTCCGCTCCATAAGAACAGTCTTAGCAATGAGTTAGAGACAGTTGGATGAGTGCAATCATTGCCTGCCTAAAGGATGGAACACTTCCAAAAGGAAGAAATGAAGCCAGAACACTTCGCGCAAAGTCAGCTCGATACACACTCATCAATGATAAGTTGTATAAACGTGGGTTCAATACACCGCTATTGCGGTGTGTTGACCATGAAGATGTAGACTATGTTCTGAGAGAGATTCATGAGGGCATCTGCGGGAACCATGCAGGAGGCAGATCTTTAGCATACAAAGTGCTTCGTCAAGGTTACTAGCCAACAGTTTTTGATGATGCAGTAGACTATGTGCACAGATGCCAGAGGTTTGCAAATACTCCACGAGCTCCGCCTCGAGAGTTAACTACGTTGACAAACCCTTGGCTTTTTGCAATCTGGGGCATAGACTTGATAGGCCATTTGCCTTAAGGAAAAATGGACATTAAGTTTGCAATGGTTGCTGTGGATTACTTCACCAAGTGGGCAGAAATCGAGCCTTTAGCCACCATCACGTCAAACAGGCTAAGGGATTTTGTCTACAAAACCATCATTTGTAGTTTTGGAATCCTCCAAACTATAATAACTAACAATGAAAAACAGTTCGACAGTGAAGACTTCAGGTCTTTTTGCGAACGGTTTGGTATTAAGAAGAGCTTTGCTACTATTTATCAGCCTTAAGCCAACAGTCAAGTAGAGGTTGTAAACAAAGTTATCAAGTATACCATTAAGAAGAAACTTGATGCCCTGAAAGGAAGATGGGCCGAAGAATTGCCTGAAGCCTTGTGGTCTTACAAAACGACAGCCAGAAGCTCGATAGGAGAAACCCCGTTCTGTCTATCATATAGGTGTGAGGCAATGACCCTAGTTGGAATGGGGATCAGTTCGTTCCAAAGGGAAGTTTTCAACGAATAAAAAAATGAAGACCTTCTCTTCCTGAGGCTAGAGCTAATCGAAAAGCATTGTGACAAGTCTCAATTAAGGCTCGCCTTGTATTAGCAGCGAGTAGGCTATACTTTAACACCAAAGTAAAAAACAGAGACTTTGAAGTAGGGGATCTAGTTCTCAGAAAGGTCGTCCAGGGTACTCAAAACTTGAACTTGGGGGCACTTAGGCCCAAATGGGAAGGTTCATTCAGGATCTCCGAAAAGCTCACGCTAGGAACCTTCCACTTACAACACCTCAACGGTGAAGCAATATTGCGAGCCTGGAACTCCGAACATCTGCGAAGGTATTACCAATGAGCAACTTGGGTTCCACTCATGTTTTATTTAATCATTCATTGTATGGATGTTTACGGCCAAAATGCTTTATCAATAAAAGAGGTATTACTCATAATTTTTCTTTGTTCACCATTTTTATTTTACTTGTTTAGCGTTTATCATTCATTACTTCAAAAATCGCAACCTACATGATAGCATCTAAAAAAAACTTGGAGTCAAGAGTCCGGAAACAGACAGCTTGTCTCAATAAGTTACACCAAAATCCAACTCAATAAGGATGAAATATCCCAAATCGACGAAGGTATACTTGGAAAAATTCAAGAAAAACACATCGAAGGAAATCGACTCTAAGTCGGCTACCAAAACTCAAGATGGACAATAGGTCCAAAGTCAGAGTTGTCGCATAAGATTTCATCGCATATATTCGAAAAGCTCCTCAAGAAGCAAGCTACGCATAACTTGGAGCAAATTTAGATTTTTTATGATAAGCCTGATTAGGACGATTGAAATGACTCTGCAGGAATATAAAAAATTGCTCAATGGGGATATACTAAAATATCTTCTATTCATTATGGAGTTCGATTACAAACTTAACAAAAAAAAAAGTCATAATGATTTTTTCAAGCAGGTGGAGGAGCAGGGGCATCATCTTCTGTGACTGGGAAGCTCATCGCCGATTGGGAGAGATGGTTCCTTAATGGTAGGAATGGCAACGAGCTCCTCAAGGTTGGGAACCTCACCCAGGGGAAGATCAACAACGCTGGAAAGAAGTATAGCCAAAGGAGCCGTATCCTTGATTCTTGCTTGAGGCCAGTCTCCTCCTCATCTTCCTCAACCTCTTCCTGGCCCTCACCATCAACCTCGTATCATCTGAGTATACGTAGGCCATTCCTTGAGCTTCAGTCTTCAGCCTTTCGACCTCTCTCTGATAATCTCGCGAAAGGAAGGAGAAGTCGATCAAGGGGTGAGCTTCCCACAACTTCTGCACTAGGAAGACTGACGTCTCCTAAGCTCGATTGGTGATGGCTTCATTCAATTCTCCGACTTGAAGCCTGAGTTGCTCGACCTCAGCTTTGGCCTTTCGTTGACCTTTCGCTTCCTGGGCAAGGTCGAGTGAGGCCTGCTTAAACTTTGCCTCCCAATCCGAAATAGTTTTTTGAGCTAAGGAGAGCTCAAAAGTCAACTTATTATTGGCACCCCGTTGCTGTGCCAAACTCTTCGCAGCCTTGGTTACTTCGGCTTTAGCCTTAGCTCACTCGCCTTGATCTTGTCAAGGAACTCCCTTTCCTTGACCCTGAAAGCCATCATCTCCTTCATAAACCGCTCAAGCTCAGGCTGCTTCGCTTTCTTCTCCTTCTTCGCAACTTGGGCCCTGGCTATGGCATCCTTTTTCACTATCTCTGCCAGCTGCCATCCTCGATGAGTGGCCCCTAACGTGGGATAGCACTCATCGTAGATAAGTCTGGTCGCCATGGCACCCTAAAGAAAAAAGGGATGGAAAGTTAGCAAAAAATAATGACAACATGCATAATAAAGTAAAAAGGGCGAACTACTAGTAACTTTGTCGTATAATTACACACCCAGGCCAGCATCTGGGTAGGAGATGAATCCCTAACACCGTGAATGTTTGTGGGGTGACGTCGTCCCTGGCCGTTGCGGCCCTAACGCTGATATGGTCGGGGAGTTGGTCGATCAAAGCATCGACTGCAGCTTAAGCCACTTCGTCCATCTTCTTACCTCCCTATCGAGACGAGCTAGACTTACTTCCCCCGACAGTGACAGTCTCGCTCGCGAGAGCGGACTTCTTCTTGGCCAAGTCCTTGGCCATAGACTTCTCTAAGCCGCTAACCTGCACGACGACCTCCTTACCCAAGATAACCTGTTGCTCGACCATCTTCTGTTTTCCCGAGCCCCCTTGAGGCTCGATCAACTTTTTCTTACCTGAGCCATTGTACTGCTCGGGTGCCTTCTGTTTCCCCAAGCCTTTAGTTAGCTTAGGTGTTTTCTTTGGCAGCCCTTTTTGGGGCTTGAAGGCATTTCTCCTGCCCACTGCCTTCGAGGCAGTTACAAGCTTCTTCGCACTTAGGCCTTCCCCAAGTTTATCCCTGCTACACTTTGTGCCAACGATATTAGTAGGCTGCTTCGTCGCCAAAGCAACTAGCGTTTTCTTGACAGCCACAAAAGTTGTCGCCTTTTTCTTAAGGCCTTTTGGTTTCTTGGCCCACATTTCTGCAAAAAAGAGAAGCAAACAATAAGTGACCTACCTACACAGGAAGAATAAACACGAGCAATCAATAACTTACCTTTCTCGAGAATGGTAAAGAAATTGGCGTTATCCTCATAGAAGTTGTACACCTTCAAGTGAGGAAGCAAGATGATCTCGTTAACGTAGAGTTGTCTGTCG